CCCTGAGGACTAGAATGCCTCGTTTACAGTAAAAAAGGAGTCTCCGGATCTCTACACTCACCATACGAAACACAGCAGTATTAAATGATTTATAGTGCTGTACAATTGGTTATGCACAGATGACCTGACAATACTGGTCTCGAAAAAAATAGCAAGCATTGTGTACGACCTGACCCAAGCGGCTCACCGTAAAGTGTAGAGTTGGTGCAAGGAATATGACTAAACCGTTAACCCAAATAATTGTGGCCCATAGGCATCTACATCTATTCTCAGTTAAGAATCAAAATGCCTTGTTGTCACCACGGAAAACTAATGATTAATGCCTCATTTCCAATAAAAAGAATCTCCAGTTCTCTACACACATCGTACGAAACACAGCAGAATTAAGCTGCTCACGCTGGTATTCTGTGATTGCGGGTAACTAACCGGCCGACAAATTCGTGCTACAACCATAATATAGCCTCAGCATAGCGCTACCACGTATAAAATCAACCTAGACAATTTCCTAGGCAGAAACAATCTATACGCCCTTATTTACGTCTTTATTTTTATTTCTTATAAACGAAAGAAAGAAAGTATTCAAACATTTCATTAGTGTCGTATTGTCGAAAGAGATAGAAGAAATACTAACGGTATAAAAAGCGTTTTTGTTGGCAATTGGTTGGCCTGGTGAGTTAAATGTTGGAATTATACCACAGTTAACCATGTGCCAAGATTCTCTTATTCTGACATGTAAATTGTATTCTGCAATTTGTAAGTCTGCTCCGTCCTATAGCTCTAATCTAAAGCCCCGAAAACTTTCAGCTCAAGTTAGAAAATCGTTTGTAGTGTGTCGGAGTCGGCAATACAGAGTACGATATGAATGACAAGCTCGTGGAAACTGTCCATGTGGTTGGAGCTAAGTTCTGCAAAACCTGTCGCAGAAGAACCCAAATGCTCTCTTATCTCATAAAATTCTTAATCGCATGGCTGTTAGACATGAAATGAAGCTACAGTCTTCAGCAGATATACAGATAAACTGAACAGTCAGATCTCCAAATGCCTACGGCGGGACTTACGCATGCAGAAGTGTGGTGTTCTTGTTCTTCAAGAAAGATGACAACGCTCTCTTGAAGAACTAACAGACCGATTTCTCTTTTAAGCCGAGTCTAGGTATTATTTTCGGGAATCATTACGAATCGTCTGCACGCGGACCCGATGACTTCCAGCCTCTTGAACAAGCCGGTTTCCAAAAGGCTTTAGTACCATAGACCACATAATATATGACCTTCGGCAATTTGTATACAGGACCGAAGATACTATCGACCACTTTGTCTTACACATAAAGACTATGAAAAGGCTTTGATTCCGTCGAAATTTGGGCGGTGCTACAGTCCCTGCAGCGATGCTGAGTTGACTGACCGTATATCAACGTGCTGAAATCTCAAAAAAGTCTCGAACATTTTTAAAAATATTTCTAATACAGCTTCGTTGAATATTTTAATTAAATTAAAAACTTTGATAGAAACTAAATAAATATTTTTCTTATAGGAAGAAGAATCGCCACGACGCTACAAATCACACGCAAAGTTAACAACGACTTACTATTATTTATATTTATAAACGTAATGTACTGAGAAGCTATTTTTTTATCATGCAATCGTGCGTATTATATTGCGTAATAATCCACCAACGGCATCAATTGCCGTATAAAGAAAAAAAATGTTCGAATTTATGAAACAAGACATTCTATTTAATTCAGAATTTACAAGACATTTGCATCTTAATCCCTAATTAAGGATAAATATTATATGTGTCCATGGGTATGAATGAATGTTTGAGTAAAGATGTATATTATAAATATGTTATGTATTATGTCCATGGGCCCCAGCATCCACTTACCATCACGTAGACTGGGTAAAATCCTACATATTTAAACTGAAAGTGAGACTGAAGCAGCTATTGCTAAATCCTCCCATGAACTGTACTTACAATGTATTTATCTGATCTCATAAGATTATTGTTGTCAAAACAATTAAGACAATAGACGACTCAATTCTTTTTGCAAAGGTGTCTCATGATATTTTGTTTAAAAACATAAATAGAATTAGAACTTAACCTTTTGTCCAAAGTACATATCTAAAGCGAAGGTAATATTTAAAAAAAATGTAAACCTTTTTAAATAAAAATCCTAAGTCGGCAGACATAAGTAAACACACCGTAACTCAGCGACACATGAGGTCACACACTAAAAATTTAATTTTTCAAAACACCCAAAAAGTCAATAAATTTTATTGACACATTTTTCAAATGATCAAAATGGGTAACTTGCAAAAGAGTAGTCATGTTATTAATTAATCTTACATTTACACTGTACCTAATACACAGTGAATTCGGCGTGTAACTTATCGCGCTATTTCCCGGAAATGATATAACAACATCTATCGGGCCAGCTAGTTACCTTATAATAGAAAAAGGATACAAAAAACTATAATATACAAACGCATATCAGAGACAAATTATATGTAGGTAGGTCTTGAATGATCCTACTGGATCGATACTTTTTACAATACAATATATTTCAACACATTTTTTGGACACTTTACTCGGAGTACTGTGATTTTTATATAATAGATAATTTTACAAGCTTAGAGGTAGTTTAAGCGTCATTACATATAGTATGTTATCGTCCTACAATTGTCATGTCAAACATATGGCCTGATCATTATCTAGCCCGGCAACCAGATCTAAATATTTATATACCAACTCATACGACAAACTTCAAAAATTTGATGGATATCAAAAATAAAGAAACTACTTTTAACTGCTTAAAATCTAGCTCGACACCCCTGCTCTTAATTATATTTGCGGGTATGAACTTCCATTTGGCACGATTCTGACATACCTTTCTCGCTTCTCTTATATCCATGTATCTACCCATACCTACACACTGTACTTTTAATTTGACCCATCTCTATATAGTATAAAACAAAGTCTCTTCCCGCTGTCTGTACGTTTAGATCTTTTAAATTACGCAACAAATTTTGATGCGGTTTTTATCAACAGATAGAATGATTCAATAGGAAGGTTTATATAATTATATAATTCTTCTGTCCGAGTGTAATCCTTTTATACAGCTGGACGGATTTTGATGAAATTTTGTGTGTGTGTGTGTGTGTGTGTGTGTGTGTGTGTGTGTGTAAATAAGTTGATTAGATAATGGTTTAGATTCACAATTAGACCCGATAGATGGCGTTGTTTTCGAGATCCAGAAATCAACCGTGCGAAGCCGGAGCGGAAGGTTAGTCTTTAATATAATATCGCCTTTTTTATCTCTATTTCTATACAAGTCACGTATACTAGTTATAAATTGGTTATAAACCCGTATTAGTTCACGGCTTGATATAGCCCTCCCCTTTTTTAGTAAGGATTGTAGTAATTTAAACATTTGGTAGGACATTTTAGTGATCGCAATATCAAATGCTGGGTCACTGGCCTTGGTGTTTTACAATATATGATATATTATGTTAATGCAAATGAGGTTCAATAACACGACACTGATAAAAAGCAGCTAAAATTTCTACCGGCACTGATAAATAAATTACAAACGAATAATGGAAATCTCAACCAAATTACAAAAACGATTGGAGAACTTATTTTATTTTTTATTTTATAGAATAAGGGTAACAAATGAACACACAGTCCACGTAATAGTAAGTGGATGCTGTGACCCATAGACATCTACATTTAACCTCGATTAAGAATCAAAACGCAGATGCGTTGTCACCCCCGAGGACTAAGATGGAATGCGTCGTTTCCAGTAAAAAAGGGTCTCCGGTTCTCTACACTCACCACACGAAACAAAGCAGCATTAAGCCGCTATTTTACGCTGGTATTCTGTGAGACAAGTAAAAAAACTGTAAAATAATATTCCTACGTTGTAAGAATACCCTCTACCCCATATCGCCCCGTAGGTTTCAGAGGTGTAAGAAATGACAAAGGAAAACAAACAAAGAGATGGGCATCACAACTGCAGCTACAACCTCGTCTACCAGGCGTGGTTTAGTGGCAACTAAGGCAAATATCCCGTTATATAATATAATCTATGGGTTAGGCATATGTTCAGTAATGGAATTATTTTGGCTGTTATGGTAACAATAATATACCGCCAGACGTAAAATACTAGAATGGCAGAACGAAACATCTGTTACTGCTACTACAAATACGCCAGTAGTCTTGACGATTGTAGCAAACTGCCCTCAATTGTTGAATAAGATAAAATTTCGCGTACCTCATAGGCACCAGAATACCGTAGCAGAATAATTCGTCTTGGACCACCTCTTCGTAGAACGCTGTTTGGCGCTAATTCTCCGATTTCTAGGTTGAGTCAATTGATCAATGAACTTTCCTAATGCATTTGATGTTAATTCCGACTCACTAAACATAACGCGAGTGTAATAGAATAAGTTTTTGGATTATTTTTAACGTTCTAGTTTACTGTAAGCATTTATTATTTTTGATGTTTGTTCCAGTGCATGTTGTAATCACCTTTAATGGCTGCAGTACCCAAGTATCCTCTCGTTTAATGCTTGGCAAAAAAAGTTATGATTTTGCAATGGAGCTCATGTCGGGTCGTGGTCTTTTAAAGGCATTAGAAGAATAAGGTATCTTGTTAATCCGATATAGCGTACATTAAAGATAAGTTACTGTTAATACATTTTTACAAGATTAATAGGAATTAAGAGTGTTAAAGTCAATTAATATTAATTAAAACCATCGAACTGGTTTCACGAAACTAATGCCGTGCAGAAACTTTCTTTCGTTCTTTGTAGGGCTTTAATCTTGTTATATATAAGTACACAATGTCATTAAAACATTATTAGCGTAGTTAAAATTGTGAGTGACAAGCTAAAAAAAATAGTAACAGAATTAAATCCTTATTATTGCTTTAGTTTTAAGGTTTGATTAGTTTCGGGAAACACGATCCGATCGTTCACCTGTAGAGTTTCTAAGCAGCTCACTCAGTTCTGTGTCACAGTCGGTGTACTCGTGGTTGCAGTCGACGGTGTAAGTGGCGACGGTGGTCACCACTGCCGCAACCACGGCGCACCACAGCGCCACAGTGCGAACACACATCGTCATCACCGCGTCGCCATCTGTAAATCAAATTATGTCCATGAACATACAAAAGACTTTCATTACGCGGAGTATTATTTTTTTTTCATAGATTAAGGGTGACAAATGAGCACACAGTCTACCTGATGGTAAGCGAATTTCGTGACCCATAGACATTTAAATCTATCCTCGACCAAGAATCTAAATGCGGATGCTTTATCACCCCTGAGGACTAAGATGGAAACCTTCATTTCCAGTAAAAAGGTTCTCCGGTTCTTTACACACACCTTACGAAACAGCAGCGTTTGAGCTGCTATTTTACGCTGGTATTTTGTAAGAGCGTGGTCGCAGCCTGGTTTAGCTGACCAATTCGCACCACAATCATAATACAGTTGCACCGCGGCTTTACCCCGTCTAAAATTCTAATTGAGTGTTTAAAAAACACATCAAGTTCAAATATGATTATCGATCCTAATTGAAATTTTTATAGGTATATGGCACCACTGTAAAAGTATTTCCTTTTGATAAAAATCAGCAATGTTCATAAAGCTCGGTATGTTAAATAAAATATACATAAACAGACATCCGATTTGATAACTTCCTCCTTTTTTAAGTCGGTGAAAAAGTGATTCTGAGATTCGATATGTTATTATTGATAAACTTTCGTTAAAGATCCTCTTGTTATTAAACCAACATCTTTAGTATCCAATTGTACAGGTTACTATAGAAGTTTATAAATGAACGCAGTTATGTAAAAAAGATCGAACACACAAAATCTTTCTTGATTTTTGGATTGGAGAATTGAGTTAATAATTTTAACGGTTTGGCTGCAAGTTTTGACAAAATTATAGTTTATTAAGAAGTGTAATTAACGCTATTCAATTATTTTCAATAGGAGAGCATGATTGCTAGAGTTAATTTTTTAACTTGTCAATCATATGATGTTGAGTATATACGTCAAAGTCATAAATATACATACATACATGCATGTACACTCACGCCCGTCACACAGAGGGGTAGGCAGAGACTACGGACTTCCATTTGGCACGATCCTGACATACCTCTTTCGCCTCCTTTACATCCATATGACTACGCATAAACGGTAGTCGGTTAAGGGTACACCTAATGTGGCCTATTTTAAATATATCGCCAATTTGGTCGATAAACCTTCGTCTAGGGCGTCCGTTCCCGACTCTACCGTTCACATCTGCAATATAAATTAGCTTTGTCACTCCTGGTCACAACATCATCTTGCACACCACTATTTTCTCTTATCACACAATTTCTCACCCTGTCATTCAGATTCAGCCCTAGCACACTCCTTAAAGAGTGCATTTCTACAGCATTTATTCAAATAGAATTGAAATTTGAAAAATTGAATTGTCTGCTTATAACAACAAAATAACTACCTTCCATTGAGCTTGGGGGGTTATTTGTACGCCATTAAAACATGAATAACACTCCATTAGTAGCGCGTTCTACCATTGTAGAACAGGCATGCATTTCGTGAGATTTTAACATTAATTGTGGGTGTCTAACGCACACACTCATAGTATTCCTCTATTACTAGCTGGTGATCACAATTAGTACCCTTTCGGCAAACTGCGCGATCGCACTTGTTAGAAATTTCGCACCAAAACTAAAATTCTGCAATAGTAGAGCGCGCGAGCACTCGCGTGTCATTTTTGTCGGAAGTTTACCTATCGTTTTTATTTTATGTGTTTATATTATGTATAAATATTTTTATTATGAATTTTTTTGTTAGATAATATTATTTTTAACCGAAGTAACTATATTTCGCACAATGATGGCAATTATTTTAAGATGGTTGGAAGAAGTTATTACTGATGAAGCAACCAGCAAAGTATGTGATACACATATTTTTACTAACGGATACAAAGGTACCTTATGCCTACCATATGGAAATATATTAATATACGCAGGTGCTCAGCCAGATGGTCCTTAAGCACAATCAAATAAAGTTGTGGACATTGTGCAACTAATGCTTACCCCATTGGATGGTTTAGGTTATAACGTCACAATGCACAATTGGTTCACGAATATACCTCAATGCTTAGAACTCTTAGGTAGCAAAATTACTGTCATAGGCACTGTAAAGAAAAATAAGCCACAAATTCCCAAAGAATTCAAAATCACAAGAAACAGAAGCGAAACTAGTTCAATTTTTGGCTTTCAAAAACTAGGTACTTTAGTATCTTACATGCCAAAATCAAAGAAAGTGGTGCTTATTTACTCAACTATGCACAATGATAATCATATCGATTTACAAACAGCAGAGAAACGTAAGCCGGAAATAATAAATTTTTACAACAATACCAAATATGGCGTGGGCATTATTTGTAATATTTATAACGTCTCCAAAAATTCTAGGCGATGGCCACTTACCATTTTTTTCAATTTAATGAATATAAGTGCTATAAACGGTTATATTGTACATACAATAAAGAAGGACTACAGAAATAAGGCCAAGAAGGATTTTTTTATATGAACTTAGTTTTCACCTAGTCGCGCCATGCATACAACGCAGAATAAATATTGAAATAAATAAAGAATAAATATTCCAAAATCATTGAAAATTAAAGGAAAAATGCTTTTGAGCATGAAAGAACCATCGGAATTACAACCATGCCCATCACAACTTCCCAATACTGGTCGAGTCGGGAAATGTTCCTTTTGTGGCAGAGCGCTAGAAAACAATGTGACACCTGTAAAAAGTGGATTCGTCCTCAACATCAAATTCTTCAATGCCTTGACGTTTGTAAAAATGATAAAGAATGTATGGAAGATATGAGCGAGTAAAAAAAGGAGACTGAGAAGGTTTGATGCCAAAGAAATCATTGATTTTTCTCAAAATTCACAAGAAGTCTGATATTAAGAGCCTGTGGCCGTGGTAGGAAAAAGGGAGATCTCCCGCCGGGAAAGGTGTTCTGCCCGGGGAGCGGCCAATACTCCGTGTGATAGTTCGGAGATGTTCTATATATACTGTTTATGATTCGGAATGTTAATAGCGCGATTTAGCCTTCGGTGTGTTTCGGTGTGCTAGTGGCGCGACGACAGCGGCGTTACATAACCCCCCTGCTCAGACCGGAGGTCGATAGTGCAGCCTCGTTGCCGACGAATGTGCAAGTGCCAGGAGATTGCCTTGTAGTCGGCGGTGAGTCGAGAAGAAGGCAAGTAATCTGCGAGAGTGCCGTGAAGCAGAGGCGAGCAGTAGCTTGAAGGAACAGGAAGCATTATTATTCCAGTGCTGCGATGAACCTTGTGAAGCTAGATGGCTTGCAGGATATGAAGACTGCAGACGATATCTACTCGGGATCGAATGGGTGGGGTTATTTTATGACGATGATGAAGCTTGAAGTTTCCGAAGTTTGTAGGTTGCGTGTTCATCAGATCACGTCGGGGTCACCACTGTGGCCGATGAAGGAAAAGGGGAGATCTCCCGCCGGGCAAGGTGTTGTGCCCGGGGAGCGGCCAACGCTCCGAGTGATAGTTCGGAGATGTTCTATATATACTGTTTATGATTCGGAATGTTAATAGCGCGATTTAGCCTTCGGTGTGTTTTGGTGTGCTAGTGGTGCGACCACAGCGCCGCTACAAGCCTAATAAAGTGGTAACTTATGTTTCGTCTATTTTAGTTTCTTATTAAAGTTTGTATTCATATGATATTGAAGTATTTTTATATTTGTTTATTGTTCCTGTAAAATCTTTACACAAAATAGTTCTACATATTATGTAGAGCGCGCGAGCACTCGCTCGCGTCCCAAACAGGGGCGCGCGTAATGGAGTGATAAAGCCATTTTTTATTTATCTGTGCACGTCTCTCCGAGCTTATCTACGGAAAGGCTGAATCGATTATAATGAAACTTTACGAAAAGATAGAATACAATGTCAAGATAAGATATCAATTGCATGATAAGAGATAAATGTGGTATGCAAGATGATGTTGTGACCAGGATTAAGAAAGGAATGCTTCGGTGGTTTGGTCATGTAGAAAGAATGAATGAGGAAAGAGTGACAAAACTTTATATGGCAGATGTGAACGGCAGAGTCGGGAGGGGACGCCCTAGAAAAAAGTTTATCGACCAAATTGGCGATATTTTGAAAATGGGCCACGTTAACAGTACCCTTAACCGATGAGCATGTATGCGTAGATATATGGATGTAAAGGAGGCGAAAGAGGTATGTCAGGATCGTGTCAAATGGAATTCCGTGGTCTCTGCCTACCCCTCTGGGTGACAGGCGTGAGTGTTTATGCTATTATACAATGTCAAGAGTGATCTAGGCTAGGCTATAGTTTAATTCGAAAAATTGGAGATATTTAGAAAAAAATGAAAAATGTAGAAAATGATTATCATAAATAAGTTACGTTAGGGTGATATAGTCACCTTAGGATTTGCAACAACCAAAACTAGGAGGTGGACAGAGACAAAAACACAAACTTTTATATACTATACCTAATACATTAAGAAAAAAATAGCAAACCAGCATTGGCAACAATAAGAAACACATTGAAAAATGAATTTAATAGAACTAACATACACTGCACAATACTAAAATCGACTAAAATATTTACTAAACTGTCTACTGTCAAAATGGCATCGATAAAGCTGCGCCCTTTTGAACCTTTATTATTCGATGGACTGATGAAGAGCTATCGTATCACAAAGCCATCTATGCAAACAAGGCTGTAGTTTTAGAGTTACAGTAAAGTGACCATATTAACCGGGTGATCATATCAACCGGGTGACCATATTTTTTTTTTTAGAAAAGAATATTAGCAATGCTATAAACATTACTAATATTCCCCTTAACCACTCGTGGTAAGCTTAAATTGCTTGTGTTACGAGTGGTTCACGCCAGTAGTCGAATGGCGGATTCGAACCCACGACCTTTTTGAGTTCGCGGTCCGCACCCTGCCATTAGGCTACTGTCGCTTATATTACCCTCACGTTTTATATAAATAACGTCACATTAATAGAGCCTAGACCTAGCAAGGGCGGATCTCTAGTCCATAGTGAGA